CATATCAGATTCACGTCTGTAGCTTGCACTGCAATCTACATTCCCAGGGCGTTTCACTTCTCGTAGAATGAAGCTCTTACTGAGACATACAAAACCCTGAGTGATCTCCCCTATCTGCCTCTGTACCTTTCCCCTTCCTGCACTCCAAACAATTTTCATTTCTATCACAGCACCATGGTCTCCATATCCCCAGCCATTTCCACATTCTTCTCCCACTGCCTGTTAGAGTCTACGCCCACACCTCCCGAGTCTGGCTGTCTGACTTTGAGTTATCCTGCAGCGGGGAGCCGCAGTGGCACTTCCTCAGAAGAGCATTTCTTGCTTCCCTAACTAGGCCAGGCTCATTTTTTTTCAGGCTCAGTTTTTATATAATCTTACAATGTAGTGTATCTCTCCAGATTCTAATGTATTTATTTATTTATGTAATTGTTTGTTATTCGTTCCCTCACCAGACATCAAGCCCCATCTCTTGTTGCTGAATGTCCCACATACAGTAGGTATTCAGTATAATTCATTCATTCACTGAACATTTTCTTTCAAGAGACCTTTCCAATTTTATAAGGTATAGGCTCCAAAAATCCTGATGCACCTCTAATAGCTATCCTCACAGTTAATGGGGAGATCCCATCCATTAAAAAAATATAACCCTACCACTATCGCTTTGATTCCCCAGGAGTTTTCTGGAAAGGGCAATCCATGTGGCATTCATGACCCGTTGTCTGCCGACCAGTGAGGCAAAGAATTAGGTCATTGCCCTTTGTGATAATTAGAAGGGGCTCTTTGCCAAGCTTCACCAGATGTATGAGAGCCTGGTGCAGACCAGAAGCACTAACTTGGTGATGTGCTGACTCCAGCACGAATGGGGCTAGTGTCATCAGCTGCTGTGCAGCTGAATGCCAGTCTCTAGTTCGAGATGTGGCTCAGAACGCTGCTACTCGCTCTTTGATCCTACTTCCTGGGAGTTTGGGCCATCTTCTGAGATGAAGAAGCAAAGATAGCAGAGGTAGCCAGGCAAGCTTCATTGGCATATTTATTTATTATTTTAAATGTTTATTTATTTATTTAAAATAAAGAGAGAGAGCAAGCAAGCAGAGGAGGTGCAGAGAGAGAGGGAGAGAGAGGATTCCCAGCAGGCTCCACACTGTCAGCACAAAGCCCAATGCGGGCCTCGAACTCACAAACTGTGAGATCATGACCTGAGCCAAAATCAAGAGTCAGACGCTTAATCAACTGAGTCACCAAGGCGCCCCTGACTGTATTTTATTAATGGGGAAGACTGGCCATCCGCCTCACCTACTCTCCTCATGCCCTGAGGACTGGTGCCCAGTCTCACTCCACAGGGCTGACTAAGTCTGCTATTGTAAGGCACAGCAGATTGTACTGTAGGATAGAAGGCCATTTCATACCAGGGGTACAAGAAATTGCTGCAAGGAATGTAATTGGCTGCCACACTTTGGAACCTGCTGTGGTGTCCCTACCTAAACCACACTCCTCATGGGCTTCTCTCAGCCAATGACTGCTTCATCTTGAGCCAGCACTCTCCCTCAAATTCTAGCTTCAATTTTCCCTCAATGGGGTTTTGTCTCCCCTTAACCCTGCACGGTACTGCGGTCACCTTCAGACTCAGGTCATGGTGGAATATGAAGTAGGAAATAACTTCCTGGGGTCCCTGGCCTAGAGGGGGCAGTTCCTACTGGATTCAAGACAGGTGTCATCATTGCTTGTTCTTTATTTTAGGGGAAAGGGGATGAAGAGTGCTCCCTTATAAGTCCTCCTCCTGGACATCTGAAGGAAGAGGGACCTTGGGGGGCTCACAAATCCAAAGTCGACCAAATTTCCAGAACCCTGCACTTTCTCTAGTGTTATTTACGGAAATGATAGGTAGCCACACTGTTCATCCTGCTGATTCCTAAATTTCACATAAAAAAATGTGCTCATCTTATTGACATTCAAATTTCTCATGAAATACACAGCATTCACAGGATGTTCTCAGCAGAAACCTAATCAAATCTATATGTCTTCTGTTAAAATTACACTAGCATTATTTTGATTGCAGTTTAAGGACTCAAACTCATGTTTAGCCAAGCTCCCCCAAAGGGTGAATCTATTAATTTAAATAACAAAGAAGTCCAGTAGACAGATCTGGCTTTGCACATTATTTCTTGTTAATGGAGCACAGAAGCTTCCAACAGCCCTGGATAACCTGGTCCTCACAGGTCCTGATCTAGGAAGGAAGAACTGATTTAACACAAGCTCTCTATGGTTCGGTAGCAGAGGTGTTCCACATGGAAAATATTGACAATATATACAACAGACAAAGGACATAAATTATTTATATTGAGCACACATTTAAAATTCCTATAATTGCACCAGCATTCTTCTCGAAACTAGAACAAGCAATCCTAAAATTCATATGGAACCACAAAAGGCCCCGAATAGCCAAAGTAATTTTGAAGAAGAAGACCAAAGCAGGAGGCATCACAATCCCAGACTTTAGCCTCTACTACAAAGCTGTCATCATCAAGACAGCATGGTATTGGCACAAAAACAGACACATAGACCAATGGAATAGAATAGAAACCCCAGAACTAGACCCACAA